GAATGAAAGACGCTAGCTCAAGAGTCTGGATCACCTCTGAGTCGGCGTCTGGCACTTCCTGCCCGTAGCGCCCGAGCAACTCGACTGCGCGATCCAGCGGCAGATGCTCGAGATCGATATCCCATGTCGGATGTGCACCCAGCTTCCGCAGGGACTTCGTAATGGTTTCGGCCGCCAGACTCTCTGTCATAGTCTCCAACGAGATGTTTCGACAGCCTTCGATCACGATGAATGGCTCTTCCCACTCGCTGGTCGAGGCAGCAACCATGGCAATGGACTCGTTGAACCCGTAAGGCTTCGACTTGGAGTAGCCGTAGAATCGAGTACCGGGGGCATTAGGGACCTTGGCGGAGATGTACAGGCTCTCGATGAACCGAGGGATCTTAGCCCGGTCTAATTGCACACCGGTAGGTGTCGAGGCCGGGATCATCATCTGCACGAATCCGTCCAAGCAGGCCGGATGGATCACATGGGGGTATTCAAAGTTCTCAGGCATGTATTTCTTGGTGTCGGGCACCTCCAGCATACAATGGGCCTCGTAGTCCCCGGAGCTAATATGGACGAGCGTCGTGAACGAAGGACCCCATTGGAGACCGAGTTCGGCCATAGCCGCATAGACCTGCCGCGGGTCATCTGGCTTGAATCCCGCGTTAGCTAGTCTGTGATACTCCGCGCGGTGGCGGTCCTTCGCTTCCAGTTCCTCATCTGTAAAGGTGGTATTGGCCGCCTTTTTATACTTGACGGAGATGAGACCCGAGCAATGCTGGGACCAAACCCCCTGGCGAGTGCGGCACGAGATGGTGAATTCCTTCCAGTAAGCATCCGGGAGACGCGAGCCCATCCGCCACGGCCGGAATTGGAGCTTGGTTTCAATCGGCTCATCAGCCGGCACCACCATGGCGGTTCCCACGGCCACATCGCGCAGTTGGAAGCCTTCGATTTCCTTGCTCTTATCCGAGATCTGTCGGATGCCTTCGATGGCCATGACCATCATTCCCGACAGCGGGTACAAGATCGAGGATTGGACCTTGTGGTGCTCGATCCAGGGCATCTCGGCCACTCGGAGATAGTTTCGCCAAGACGGCTCCAGGTCACTGCAATGCTCGCTCAGGGCACCCAGCAGGTCGTGACGAGGAAGCTTGCGCTGGCGGTATGCAACCGAGATGGGGGATTCGTACCAGTAGCGTTGCATGTGATTCCAGGCAAACGGGGGAAGATCAGTCAGGGGCACTGGCAGAGTAGCTCTTTTTCCTGGGGTGTTGGCCATGGTCAGATCCGCCGGATATCCGTGTTGGTTGAGCTTGCCCAATGCTTCGAGGGCGGTTCTTGTGGCATCATTACCCCGCGACAGGACAGAGACGTAGGGAATCGGAGTCTTGGTCTTCTCGTGCTGCAGGATCTGCTTGATCGGTCCTTGCAACGCGGCATGCGGGCCCACCTCTAACAAGACGTTGATGAAGGCCTCTTTGCGTGCCGTGCGTCTCTTGCGTGTCGAATACGACACGGCGGTTGATACGGCCTGCAGGAAGTTGACCGGACTGATCATGTTGTCCACCCAGTAGTCAGGCCCAAGCTCGTCTGCGTTGATTGGCTTCCCAGTGACAGACGAGAACATCACGGCTCCTGTATCCCCTGCTTTTAAGGTCCTGATATTCTGGAGCGCACGGCGATATTCATCTGCAATTGCCTTAATATGTGGCGAGTGATACGCAGTCTTCACGTTCAGTCTCCGAGCAAAGACCTTGGAACCCTCTAGCATTTCCTGAACTTGAGTGATGGCCGCCGAGTCGCCGGATAAGGTGACATTCGACGGGCTGTTAATGCAGGCGACCACCACCTCCCCATCGGTAACCTTATCAAGGTAGGGCTGGATAGCATCTTGGCCAAGTCCAACAGCCATCATACCGCCATCCCGGGTGATGGTGTTGGAGAGACGACCGCGATGGTAGGCGATTTTCCATGCATCCTCTCTGCTGATGGCTCCTTTTGCATAGGCGGCCTACAATGTGTCAGCGAGTGTTCTTTTCCAAAGCGACCTTACACAGCTTACAGCGATTTCTCCGCTCGAATGACCAATGACCGCTGTCGGACGGATATTCCATTCAGCGAGTAGATCAACCAGAGCCACTTGGAGCGCTGTACATGTGGCCTGACTGATGGCCGCTTTGTTGATGCAAGACGTGTCCTTGTCGCGCACGAACTCCACTGTTAAGGTTAACATGCTGCGTCAAGGTAGGAGTGGGTTTCATTTCTTACAGAATAGATTCCACGTGCATCCCTCGCTTTCCAGGTATGCCGTAGCAGCCTCCAAACTCTGGCGGAAGGTGGCGTAGCAAAGAAGCTCCCTCCCCATTGCGTACCACTGGGCTCCCTGCCCGGTAAAGATGAATCCGAGAGAAGGCACCTGCGATGCTCTCAGGGCCTTGGGAACGCCCTGTTCCAGGATTGAAACAAGCTCTTCTACCGTGGAGGCCACTGCATATGTTTTCCACGACAGCCTGCTGCGACACTCGGACAAGGTATACACAAGGCTATCCAGGAAATCTTCTGGCAATTCACCGCGCGTCTTATCAAGCAGGTATGTCAACAGCGCCTTAGACGTTCTCTCGACCCCGTTCTGTTCGTGGGAAGACCAGTAGAACAGCTTTGGTGCAGGGGCGATTTTTGCGATCTCCAGGGGAGTAGTACTGTAGCTCGTTCGGTCGCTCTCGTTCCCGTCCACTTTCGACCAGGTGCTATCCTGGCTCGAAGTGGAAAGCAAATCGGAGAGGGTCTCGAGGTCCTCAATCCGACTGTCGACGACGGTCCTATGAGCACCTTTCAGCCCACGGCTCGTGAGATAGTTGTAGGCGTCATCCAGGATGCAGTGGGCATTGGTACCACCATAGCCGAACGAGTTGACGCTTGCACGACGGAGGCCTTGCGTTGGCCAGTAGGTCAATTTAGTGGGGATCTCAATACTTCGTTAGCCTAGGTTCCCAGGAGCGGAGCGCAATTCATCTCACAGTTATGTTCCAGTCGGTCATTGGAATGCGAGGGTTGGGCTTCTCAAACCACAGATTAGGTGGAATGATTCCCTTTTCAAGTGCGTACACGCTCTTGATCAAGCCAGCCAAACCACTCGCGCCCTCCATGTGACCGATATTAGTCTTGATGGACCCGATTGGAATTGGGTTGTCCTTGGATCTGGACGCTCCAAATGTAGCTCCAATTGCAGACGCTTCCAGCGGATCACCGGCGGGTGTGCCTTTGTTCTTCAGTTAGCCCCTGAATACGACCCTAAGGACTCAACGAGAAGAACTTATACCGGTTCCATGCGCCTCGAAATAGCTTGTCTCGGAAAAGTCAAGACCGGCCGACTGATAGGTGGTCCTGATCAATTCCTCCTGTGCTTCCGCAGAGGGTAGAGTAATACCCGGGGTTTTGCCATCCTGGTTTACTCCAGTCCCTCGAATCACTGCTCGGATAACGTTATTATCCCGGAGCGCGTCCGCCAGGGGCTTCAGAGTGATAACAGCGGCACCTTCACCGCGCGAGTATCCATTGGCTTTATGATCAAAGGCCTGGCACTTGCTGTCGGGACTGAGGAAATGCAGGGATGTCATTGCGATTTGCATCTCCGGCATGAGGAGAAGGTTGATGCCACCCACGAGAGCCTGCACGTCGGGTCAGTGTTATCAGGCATCATGCATTGCTTGGTGTAGAGACTTACCGTTTTGGATTCACCACTTCGGAGACTTTGACATGCCAGATGCAACGCAACAAGGGAGGAGGAACAGGCCGTGTCGAGACTGAGACTGGGCCCCTTGAGATCGAAGAACCATGAAATACGGTTTGATATGAGAGCCGCACCGTTTCCAGTGCCCTCGTACTTCCTATAGCTGACGTGAGTACGATTGTTTTTAGCAGTACAGGATGGACTCAGCCTACGGAATATCCTCAGCATCATGCGAGCGAAGATTTGCGTAGTCCCTGGTAAACGAGGCCATGAAGCAGGCCATGGGCGAACCGGCAACATCCTCGATGCGAAGACCGGCTAGTCCTTATTAGCAAGACTATGAAAGCCATCGTTGAATGGGTGGGATACCATTTTCCAAACTTTCATAGGCCACTTCCAGAGCGAGTCTTTGCTGCGGATCCATCGCATTGGCCTCCTGCGGGGTGATGGAGAAGAAAGGCGCATCGAAACAGGCAACGTCCTCCTGCATGTAATGGCCTCCTCGAACATTCATGGTCCCCTGTCGTTCTGCATGGGGATGGTAGAATGCATCGATATTGAACCGGTCCTTGGGCACTTCGCTCATGGCACTTTGTCCCTTGCAGATCAGATCCCACAGTTTCTCGGGATTCGTGGCTTCACCGGGGAATCTGCCGCCAATTCCAATAATCGCGATCGGTTCGAGGGCATCCTTGGCTGTGATAGCTGCCATGTTCCGCGGGCTGACCCCATTTGTGCCGATAGTATGGGGCATATCCGGGTCAGACAAGTACGGAGCCATGTTGGATGTACAGATATAAAGTATGCTAGCAGCAGCTTAACAACAGTACGTAGATATACCGTAGGTAGTCTGCGCCTAACTTCTCTCAATTCCCGGTCACGTAGGAGATATATCATATCATATAGGATGATGCTGTAACATTCTCATCCGCAATGCGAACCCCGAGATTCCGCGCCGAGTAGGCTCATAATAGGCAAGCACACTGCTGACAGAGAGATTGGATACTTTGCTGTCAGACGAAGGATTTCTCGACGGCTTTTGCCCCGGACTTCTGGGGCCGACTCGGGAAGCGGCAGTCCGCACTCCGCGCGGCTACGCTACTGCTACATTATACTATACTGTCCTATACCATGCCTGACTGTGCGTGGTCGCACAGAATCCTCAGGATCTGCCATACAGAGGTCAAATTTATTGGCTTTACGTGAAATATATGTTGACTGTCTCTTTCTATATTCGTACAAACCCTATATCACTCGTTGACACAGCAGCAGCCAATTCACAATGAGGTTTCTCTGCCTCCATGGCCATGGCACCAATTCTTCCATCCTCGAGGCTCAGCTAGAGCCCATCAGAGCGTATCTTCCGAGAAACTGGGAGTTCGAATTCCTGGATGGCGAAATGGAGACCGAACCAGCGCCTGGTAGGTGACTCTGATCCGTTCCACTTTAGCCATCTAATGTTGACCATCGTATTACATCTCAGGAGTCGACGCAATCTTCCCCGGACCTTATTTTGGCTATCATGGCGAGCCAATACCCGACGACGTTCAAAATGCGTACGACCTCGTGCTGGAGGTAGTCCGAGAAGAGGGCCCCTTTGACGGGGTGCTTGGTTTCTCCCAGGGAGCAGCCGTGGCCTCGACGCTTCTTCTCAACCACGCAAGAACCAACCCGACCGAGGAACTATTCAAGATGGGGGTCTTTATATCTACAACGATGCCCTTCGACTTGGGGTCTGGGAAGTTGAAACTCACGTACGACCCCGCGCACCGAGAGCTGTCCGCCATCCACCAGGGCGCGGAGGGAAACGAGATCGGAGACGATCACATAGATTGGATGACTGATGTTCGGTCGAAGGGAGTGATTGACGAGTTTGAGGCCCGACGACCGATGGCTGCCAGCGCCAAGGAAGCGACGAGTGTCGATGTCCTGCTGAGGTTTCATCCAACCACGCATACCCGGCGGATCAAAATCCCGACTGCTCATGTCATTGGGGAGAAGGATCAGTATGCCGACCATGGCAGGGCCCTCGTAGGAATGTGTGAGCCGAGATTGGCACATGTGGTGACGCATGACGGCGGCCATCAGCTTCCCAGGAGTACATCCACGGTTGCAAAGGTGGCTGGTGCGATTCAGATCGCAGTTGAACAGATGCAGTTCCAAACTTGATGCTATCATCTTGTGGCTCTTTACAATATTCTACTGCCATTGTAAAAGAACAATACTGTATGTAAACAGTGCTTGCATCAAATCATTCAGCAGTGAGTACAGATACCATGCGCCAGCCGGATTTGTCAAGTGTAGTCAATGCAAATTACTCCTACTGCTCAACCATGAACTACAATTAATCCTATCGGTAATATCTATTCCCAGTCAGCAGGAATGACCAGTAACTACTACCTCAAGCCCGTATAAGTATGACGGATATCAGGGAACCGCACCCCGACAGCACGACGACCGCTCGGCCCGCCCAAGTCCGCTAGGGTTTTATAGGATAGTATCTATCACTGTTTCCTCGAACAAAGGAACATGGCCAATAAGCTTTAGGCTCTGGCCGGTCTGTCTACCAGGAGTATACAAATAAAATAACAGGTGCATCGTTATACTAGACAGCAAAGCAAATGCTCAAAATGGAGCTATCACTCTACGGCTCCGTGGCTATTGTAGTCATTTTCTATGCCTTAGCCCGCGTTGTCTACCGTCTCACGCTTCATCCTCTGGCAAAGGTTCCTGGCCCAAAGCTGGCCGCTTCAACGCAACTCTATCAGACATTTTACGGCTACCACGGGGGGCGCAGCGATTTCTATCAGCAGGTGGAGCGCCTTCACAAACAATATGGTATTCATTACTCCCTTCGAATAAAATCGTTTGCTAATTTGATATACAAAACAAGGCCCGGTTGTCCGCATCACACCGGACGAGGTATCCTTGAGCGATCCCGACGCCTACGACAAGATCTACCACGTGGGGACCAAATACTACAAATCGCCCTCTTACTATCGCGTCTTTGGCTCCCCGTCGGCTACGTTTACGACAATCCACAACGCCGTGCATGCTTCCCGGCGGTCCGCCCTAAATCCCTTCTTCAGCCGTAAGGCTGTTCTGCACCTCGAGCCACTGATCCAGGACAAGGCTGCGAAGCTTGTCCAGCGGCTTGCAGAAGGCTTGAAAGCCGGCTGTGGGTCGGTGGAACTGCATTGTCTGTTCAGTGCACTCAGTGTGGATGTGACAAGCGATTATGTGTTCCATGATTGCTACAATCTCCTCGAAAACCATCCAAGTTTTGGACACGATTTCGCTAACATGGTGCGGGGGGTCCTGAAAGGGCTTTGGGTGTTCATGCAGAGTAAGCGACTGGAGGCTATCATGCTCAGATTGCCGCGGTGGCTTTCGGACCGTAATACTATTATTCGAAAGTATAACAAGTTGGTCGATGTATGTGTCTTTCCTTTTTTATGACGCTTTCCTCAGATCAATACACTCATGCCAAAAAATATAGGAGACCAAGGCAAATGTGGTCAAGGTCAAGAGACAGGTTGATGCAGGCGAGCTCACCAATCTTACCCGGCGATCAATATTCCATGAACTCCTTGCTCCCAGCGATAATATCGGACAGGCTCCTACCCGCACGGTTGATGAGCTGACCGATGAGGGCCTGAGTATCATGGTTGCTGCTGCTCTCGCAACAGGCAATGCCCTCACAATGATCGCGTTTCATGTTCTTCGCAACCCGGATATCTATCGTCGGCTGCGGGAAGAGATCCAGCATGAGTTTGCGGATCCAGAGAAACCTATGAACTTTTTGGCCTTGGAGAAACTGCCTTACCTAGTATGTTGAGCCCTGGCTTCTTTCCTCTGACCATTGATTGATGCTGCGCAGACAGGAGTCATCAGGGAGGGCTTGCGGCTGAGTTACGGCGTTATCGGTCGTCTTCCCCGTGTGGTTCCTGACCCTGGAGCTGAGTTCAACGGACACTTTCTACCGGCTGGTGTAAGTTTTGACGTTTCTTTAGACCTTGGATATGTCGCTGATTTTCCGTTACTGCCCGTCTTGTAGTCGGTTGTAGGGATGTCCTCCTGGATCATGCATCGCAACCCAGGCATATTTCCTGACCCCGAATGCTTCAACCCAGAGAGATGGTTGGATCCTGTAAAAGGACGCAAGCTCAGTCGATATCTGGTCAGCTTTGGAAAAGACAGTAGACAGTGCATTGGCATGCCGTGAGTAATACACTGCTATGCCCGGAAGATACGGAACTGACAGAGGTAACAGGTTGGCATATTGTGAATTATATGTCACCACGGCCATGCTGTTTCGCAAATACGGTGATTTGGAGTTGGACGGAACAAAGCCCGAAGACCTAGTTTATGATGATTATTTCTCTGCGTTTAATCCTGAGACGAGCCGAGGGATGCGAGTCAGGAGGATAAGCAAGTCTTGATGGCCGTGGGTATTTCATCAAATTGGCATATATTTTCATTACCGAAACATACTACATCCCTGCATTTCGGTCCAATTATGATGAGTTGTTATGATTATGGTAAATTGATGTCTGCTGTTGGGATGACTCGCTGCGCCGTACTTTTTCAGCGTGCGCGGCCCGGCAATGTCCGTCCTTGCAGACAAAGAAACCAGCCCAGGGGCCTCATTGGGCAGCAATAATGGATTTATCCAGTCTGTCACACTCACCGGGTGATCTCAGGTGAGACTCTTGATTTGTTTGTCTCCGGCATGCCCCGACTTTTCCATGCTTATTGTAGTCTTTCTTCCCATCCAGTCCTATGTCCAGGTCCAGTGCGGGATTACGAAGGAGTAGAATAGTCACAAGCTGCGATTCTGTATTACAGAGCTGTTTCGTTCTCCTGACTCCAATCATCAGCTCTCGAATGTTTTTCACTGGCGGTACCCTACAATCCTCTGCCTACACCCGTCATGGCCGTCTCAACCAGCATCATGGCCGAGAGCGGTCCTGAAGAGCGTATACCGCAAGCTATTTCCAAAAAGCACGATGAGCCCCTTGTGAATCCCCTCGATCCTCCTCCGCAGCGGCAGCACCGCGGCTGGCGTTTCTGGGCTGTTTTCCCAGGTCTCTGCTTTGCCATTCTTCTTGCAGCCCTGGACACCTCCGTTCTTGCTACTGCTCTCCCGACCATCGTGGACCAGCTGCACTCGGGCTCGCTTTATATATGGACAATCAACGGGTATTTTCTGGCCGTGGCTGCGGTCCAGCCTATCGCTGGCCAAGCGTCCGATATTTTCGGTCGGCGATACCCTATGATCATCTCCGTCATCCTGTTTGCACTGGGAAGTGGCCTCTGTGGCGGAGCGAGCACTACGGAAATGCTGATCGCCGCAAGGATTGTGCAAGGACTTGGAGGCGGAGGCATCTTCGTGATGGTGGATATCATCGCGGCCGATTTGGTAGCGCTTCGGGAGCGACAGAAGTTCATGAGTATCATTATGGGCACCTTTGCCCTGGGCACATTTATCGGGCCTGTTCTGGGAGGCGCCATCGTCACCAAAACGACATGGCGATGGGTTTTCTACATCAACCTCCCTGTGGCGGGGATTGCGCTGGTCCTGGTGACCCTGTTTCTGAGGGTCAAATGGAACCGAGAAGGCACTCTCAAGGATCGACTCGCTCGGGTGGATTTCTCCGGGAATATGATCCTCTCTGCGGCGATCGTGGCCATCCTGATCGCCCTCACCTGGGGAGGAACAACGTATACATGGAGCTCGTGGCACACCCTCGTCCCTCTCCTCGTCGGCGCTCTCGGCCTCGTTGTGTTCGGCCTCCATCAGGAATATGTGGCCCGCGAGCCGACGATGCCGCACCGCGTGTACAGCAACACCACTTCTCTGGTGGCCTACATCCTCACTTTCCTCCATGGGATCATCATGTCCTGGCTCTCCTTCTTCCTACCGATCTACTTCCAGGTGATGCTGCGGGCCAGTCCCATGAGGTCCGGGGTGGATATCCTCGCCATCGTGATTCCTCTCATGCCAGCCGGCATCGTGGGTGGCCTCATGGTCGCCATCACCGGCCGGTACAAGCTCACCATCGTCCTCGGCTACAGCCTGATTTCCATTGGAGTGGGTCTCCTCACACTCCTCACCGACAAGTCGAGTACGGCGACATGGGTTATCTTCCAAATCATCACCGGAATCGGCGGCGGGCTGTCCCTCACCTCCACGCTGCCGGCAGTACAGGCTCCGCTGCCGGAGAAGGACGTCGCTATCGCCACCGCAAGCTGGGCATTCGTGCGGAGTTTTGGTGCCATCTGGGGCGCCGCCATCCCCGCCGCCGTGTTCAACTCCAAGTTCGACAGTCAGCTGTCCCACATCAGCGACGAGGCCACCCGCGCTCTCCTGGCTCGTGGCGGGGCGTATGAGCATGCCACCAAGCTCTTTATTGAAGCTTTTGACGATAATCCCGCCCTGCAGCGTGAAATCTTGGACGTCTATCAGTCATGTTTGAAGCTGGTTTGGCAGGTCTTGCTGGCGTTTTCCCTCGCGGCGTTTCCCCTTGCCGTATGCATTCCGCAAGTAGAGCTGCGGAAGGAATTAGTGACGGAGTTTGGACTGGACGAGAAGTATGGCGAAAAGAAGAGACGTGAAGCCATCGAGCAAGAGACGGGAGTAGAACTGGGGAATCGAAGCACTCGCAGGGACGACTAAAATCATTGGCTTCGAGTCAAAAGCAGGCCACGCAGGCGATATAGATATTAATATGCCATGTTGAATGTACATTAGATGACATACATATACTCTCCTCTTTCTAGCAAGTCCCTGAAAGCTGCATTCTCCACATTTATAACCCTCGTAGACAGTTAAGGATATCTAAATACTTGCCTGTTTATAGAAACTTTATCATGTGATAACGAGCAAAAACGGAAAATGGAAAAATCCTGTTTATCGAGAGATCATACCGTCATCTATCTACTTCTATAAAAGAGTCTCCCATTTCCTTACAATACAGGCAAACCCTTAGAGGTAGCCTATTCGGTATCAGCGCCTCCTTCAGCCGCGGCCACCCAGGCATCTATCTTTTCCAAAAGTCCAGGATGGATGTGTTTCGGACAGACAAGCTCCTTCATGGCGGCGGCGAGCACACGTAGGTTGTCAATGCAGGAATCCACGTCGACATTTCCCCTCATGTCCAGCATCCGCGAACAGGTCTGGATGGCCATAGACATTGGCCACACAAGGAAGCGGTCATGGTGTTTAAATATTTCCAGCTTTTTGCCTGTTAGCCGTTGGCTTAGCTGGACCGTCATAGCGATGTCGGTGGCTGCGGTTACGCATCTTGTGATTGCCTCGGTCGCGAGGACAGCAGGCAGCTTGTCTTTCTGAACCTTGACCAGGGCCGTCTCGTGCAGAGTGATTTCGACCGCCGCAAGGTTCATGCGCAGCGACAGAGATCGTGGGTCGTCAGAAAAGTCGTCGTTGACGTGGTGGGAAAGTAAATTCCCTCGGTAGTAATTGATGGCTTTGTCAATCGAGTAATGCGTCTCCCAGAAGTCATGGGGATGATTCACCTGTGACATGGTGTGGTCGATACATCGTCGGTACAGGGATACCATGATGAGTGTGCCAGCAAAGGATGACACGGACACCTCAGCAGAGATCCCAGCTTCGATCTGCTGCATTGATGGCATGGCCCTGGTAGAATTCGTCAATTCGTCGAGAGATTCGCTTGGAGATGGGAGACGGATAAACGCCTGGCTATTTCATTAGTGTGAAACCTACAGCAAGAACGCGGCTGACGTACCGGCATTTCCAAGGCCGACTGTGCGTGCAGGTGGGTGGTTGATAAGGAATCGAATACATAGAGGACCCAGAAGGTTCGACGCCGCTCTTCCGCAATGACAGCGCAAGAGGCCGGTGGAAGTCGCGGCCGCTGGTCCCATGGTGCAGTCATAGCCGCATTCGGGGGACTGTCGACCTGGTCAAGGCCTATCATCTTAGCGAGCCTGATAGCCCGCCCGAGCGTCATCCAGGCCCGAGCAAAGTTTGGCTGCTTGAATTCGTAGAGTGTCAACAAGGCGAGTGCTTGAAGAGTATTGATGCTCGCCAGGGATTCACCCGTGTCCTGTCTTTCACACAGGTCCAGGAGGGTCCGGCATTGCTCGTAGCATCTGTCGACGTGACAGCGGAGCTCGGGCACTGAGAAAGATCCCAGTACTGCAATGGCGAATGAGAGGCTTTGAACCTCGATTGACGGTGACATCTCGGATATCTCAGCCTCAAAGCGAGATCGACAGATCAACGGCATAATGGAATGGAACAGATCAAAGTACCTGTCGTGTCTGTACTCGTCAGGTGAGTTTGAATCCGGATGAGCGTGTGTAGCTTACAATCCTTGCAGGAGCCCTGGAGACAACTCCGGCACATTATGGTTTGTTGCAGTAGGAAGCATCTCCAAAAGCATAGGGTCCAACTCAACGAATCCGTTGGAACCGGGCATAAATGGCGCTATCAGAGGTTCAAACGGCATCGTAGAGACAGGAGCGCCGAAGTCAAAATTGTACGGGTCGTTATTTGCTAGGTCGGGCCTGATAGCTCAGCAGACTGAGCAGTGGAACGCAGACATGTCGATACTTACCAGTCATTCATGGTCTGCCCATCAAGATCGGGCAGCTCTAGTGTCGGCAAAAGCGCCGAGTTCAGATGTGAAGGTGATGTATTCGATGTAACCGGTCCAGAAGCTGCAGCATCTGACTCTATAGGGGTTTGCGTAGGGTTCTGTATTGATGAATGGAATGCCAGTTGGGCCTCTGCCTGCTCTGTAGAGAAGTCTGGATTAGCCAGAATCCGTGGTGCATCCTGTAACTCGGCAAAATTCAAGCTCGTGGCTCACTCAGGCGGTCGTTTATTGTCACTAAATATCGTGATAGATCCAACTTTGAAGGCGTTGGCTTGGAACGACTCAGGTAGCGACACGTAGTCCCCATTTTTGCGCATCTCCCACATGTTGGGTGTTTTCTATCGCAGCGGATCTTTCGCTCACGACATGTCCTATAGCGTTTCCCCAAGTTAGCAACAGGACAAAAGTCAGAAAGGGAGAAACCACAAGGACGCACATGCAAGCCAACCGTTTTGAAGCGTGGTTGGATATGCTTAACTCTTCAACATGAGACTTCTTGCTATCCTCAACGGCATCAACAATGCTAAAGCTTGCCATTGGTACCGGATACCACAACCAGCAAAGTCGGATGGCAGAAAACAGGATGGATTTCTGCTGAATAGAGTTGATTCCTCCTTGGCGTAACTCTGTTCACTGATGATCAGTACTTATAGCAGTTACGGCGCCCAACTGTCAAACTTATTATCAGCTAGGAGAACTCCGCATGCTATAATCAATCTGACATATTAACACTAACAACGCAATCCTTTGACAGGAGACCATTCAAAGGATGCCATTGTGTAAGAATTAAGTAAGCGCTAAATTAGCTAGACAGCTCCATGTCAAGAGCCACAGACGAATTTGGTAAAATTAATCATGAGTAAACTAATGGATTCAAGAGTGCCCTTATCTAGCAGGAGACCATATCATGTAATCTCCAGTTGAATACGTATTGTATAATTAATCTAATCTGCAGAAATGTGCTTACAGCTCGGGGCCCCGGACAAGGTTGGCGTGTGTTGCCAAAAAAAAGCCCAACATTCATCATTAAGTAATTAATGCATCAGGGTTCAATAAGCATAGCAGTAGTTAAATGTGTTGCATGTTTCACATAGTGAGAACCCAGTCGCTTAGGTCGGAAGCTGTATGGCTGGACATAGATCAAGAGAATAGACTTATGTCTATGTGACTAAGGCTATGGATGCACGCACACATTCCATTTTGAAGCAAACGACTAATTATTTAGTCGTGAGTGAATAGTGCAATTGTCTCCCAGGTCATTGTGATGGGGAAATTACGGCAGAGACTGGTACTTTTGAAGCAATTGCTTATTTTCGGATAAAGAGAAAACATACCAATGAATGAGGGGGATAATCCCTGCCCTATGTTACATTGTGGTAGGCAGGTGCATGCATAACCTTTTCTAGTTCGAGAACACACATTATTGACAATATAGCCTGTTCGAGAAACTGGTCCTTCCCTCTAGTGTGAAGCCCGTAAGTGAAAGGCTATCAGTGTCGAATCGCCATCTATCTACCATTATCCATCCATGCACCTTAAGATCATGGTCAGCTTGTGTCTTCTGCTTTGACGCATGCTTTACGGAGTACTTAATAATGAGTGGGGTTATCTGACTGGAATGTAAGCTGGTGCCTCGTGGATGGCAAGGAGGGGCAAATCTTAAAACTAAAAACGCCCGCGTTGGAACCCCTTTTTGCTCCTCTCTTAATATCGGCTAATTAAGAGATGTTGCTACGGAGTAACCGCACTAACAAGCAATGAGATGTGGATCATGCCATGTCGCTACCTTCTCTGTACGCCTCAACTGATCGAAGAGTACCGCTGTATCCACCGGCGAAATTACTCGAGTCTAATCAGGATCTATAATCCAACCAAAAGTACAAACGTACCACTTCGAGCAAGAGCTTGGCATCCATGGCCAGTGTGTACCCATATTTTTGCGGCTTACCAAGGCGCTATTGCTTGGGCCTCTTGATAGGGAGTATGATTCATAATTGCATGGAATCGCGCCCAGTTGACGCTCAGCCCAATGTGGCGCGGTCATGGTGCATTGGCTATACTGACAAGCCAGTTTTCCGCCGGACCAATGGTAACTTCAGATTTGCTTCTTCAAAAGCATGGTCACGCAGTCAGCTCACCCGTTGGAAGCCACTGGTCTTTATTAATTGACATCAATGCCAGTTCACAACATTGAGAGAACCAGAACGAGCGATCGGACATGCGTGAGGTCCGTTGCAGTCACGCTGCTACGGGAATGTCTACGTATTATATAATTATGGATTGAATAAATGAGCTGCGAGACTTTGCTTGAGGTCCCCGCAGAGTCTGGAGACGTGCATGTCTTTTCATGATTGGTTCCCCCACCGCTACGCAAGCTGCTCGCTCGAATTTATGTATGAGGATTTGGGCAAATCAGTTGTAGGGGGAGCATGCTGTTCCTTGTATAAGTAACTGGCTCGAACTGAACTTGAGCAGCATACCTAGTGATTCAGCCGCTAGCCCACACCCAACAGTTTGGGGCAGGATGTGATAGGCTGATAGCTGTACATTAGTGTGTTGTAGGTTGGGGGTCTGGATCTCACCTCAGCGCCCCTTTAGCATCCGGCTGATGACGTGTCTTTCTGAAGTATTTGATTCAACTGTGCGTGACAGCTGAAATACATAGGTATGGACAGAAGGAGATTTCTCGGCGAGCACACCTCTGATCAAGGGGCCAAATATTGTCGCCGGTCTACGGGCGGCTGATATCGCATTGATGTAGGGCGCTTTGTGGCAGCGACCACGAGGCCCGCGCACCCAGACCAGCAATCGAACGTCCAATGGTGAGTGCGGCAGAGTTTCATGCAGAGCCGCGCAGGTGGCAAATCCGACCAAGATGAGAAACACAGATATGCTGTAGATCTATAGTACAGAGTGCCGAGCAATGAGCTTGCCGAAGAGAAGCTGGGGCGACAGATGATCACGTCGTCCTGGAAATAAGTTACCAAGTCACCATGAGTTACTTAACCGGAGATGTTGCTCTACGCAAGCAAGACTTACCAATATGATGAGGAATACTCCGAGACACAGTCTCACAGGGTCGCAACGGCAAGGTGAAAATCGAATTCCTGAAGAATACGAGGCCGAGCCGCTTCTTCACGCCCAGGACAGATCCTTCCGGGTTCGCTTCAGATGCGGCCGTTTGATTCCCCTCTGACTTGTGCTCATCAGAGGCTTTCTCAACTGGGGCGCGAAAGGTTCCCAGTTCTTCCCATATTTGGTCGCAATGTCACTGGATATTTTGACTATAATTGAATAACTGAACCAATAAAGCTCTCGGAGCCGGCCCTCACCAAGCCCACTATGAATTGGGTTCGGTCCTTAGTGGCCTAGTCTAGGGAATCGCACTAGTTTCAGTTTCCCCATTCCCTATACTGATTTAGATTTAGTGAAATCTGTCAGTCACAGTTAATTCAGTTTAATGATTTCTTGCATATTAATCACTAACTTCAAGATGACTCTAGTACTTTTGATATCACTAGATAGCGTCATATTTAGTCTATCTAAATGACTTATTGGTTCAAAATACTTAGTGGTGGCTAACATAAGGGGACCATCTTCTCTGTCAGATGTGGGGATGTATATAAATGTGCGTCCACCTTTTACAGCTACAGGGTTTAAAATGGAAAGTACAAAGGACTTTCAAATAGACAGCTATTCCACACAACAGATATTGAATTGATACTTTAGATATGGATTAGAGTAGCTGTACTTGCCATATTTTTCATATAAAAATATGAAATATGAATTGTCTATAAGAATGGTAGTTAGTATGGTCGATGGTACGCCTTCAATTTAAAATCTGACGACTATTGAAAGTTTAGATACTGTAGGGTTCGACAACCCCCACCCAGATATGCTAATGACAGCTTATCTAGGGTCTAGTGGCGGATTTTGCGGAAACTGGCACGGAATTGAACCGCCAGTCTTAATTCTTCAGCTCAACACCTCCACAAGGTTTAGTGCCAACTGGCTGAGAACGCTGAACAAGTGGGACCGATGACCTCAGCATAAACCAACCTCCTTCGATCAACGCTGGATATTGGCTGCACATTCGGCAGCACAACGTTTGCGATGAAGTCCATTTACTGAAGATCTCTAGCGTACTTACTGTTCCCAGCGTCGCCTCCATCATCATAGGCCTCCCCATCGCTTAGCTCTGGCATCACTGGGCTGGGATCATTCCTGTACAGGCGCTCGCCTTTTCTGTTCCCGTCAATAAAAGCCCGGCGAGTCGTGTACACTTGGACCAACGTGGGGTCAGCGGGGTAATTTGGACTTTTGGGGAGGTTAAGGAAGATGCTGTGGGCTTTCGAATGCATTTTACGCTCCGAACGATCATCAACACCGATGACCTTTGGACGAGGCATTTGATTCTCCTTGCTCCCGCATCTGCGGCTGGAAGCAGGATGGTGTCGCCCACCACTGCATACGGAATCCTTGTAAGCTTATTCTGTCGGCGTTGACTGTTTCCCGGATCGAATCCCAGCCCACAAAACTGGACGGACAACCTCAAAAAAGTAGAAGAGATGGCTTGGATCTTTGATAGACTGAGATCTGTCCCCATCAGGAAGGAGCGAGTAGAATTGCCGCCATCAATCCAAACAATGTCAGTCTTGTTGAAATGCATGGTCAGATCACGCTGAGAACAGTCATTGACTGACACAATAATAGCAGTGTCATCAGCCCTGACCCTTTTGTTGCGAGAGACTTTCTGTCTAAGGACAGTCAGACACTTCTTTTCCAAGAATCGCTGCCAGTAGGTGCTTGGGCTAAGACTAGGTCTTCTTCTCTGTCCTTCACCATGCCTTGTTGTTGACAGTGACCCGCCATTTTATGAGGTAGTGGATATAGCTAGGTGGATCCTCATCATAGAGCTTATCATCTTCCTACTCAGATTCCCGGAGCAATGGTATAGCTCTTAGT